AGGCTGGATTCCCTCAAGTCAACAATGGAGAAAGTGAAGGACAATAAGTCAAAAATAGAAACAGAGAAGATGGTTTGTGAAGAACTACAGAAGAAGTCTCTTTCTTTCATACTCATAGTGCATTATTAACAATACAAAAAGTATATAATAGGCCTAGCTATGATTTTTCTTGAGTTCTTTAGAGACAATGACAAGTTCATGATGAAAACAGTTCATCAAGTTGGAGGGAATATATATGCAGCCAATAACTGTTTTTTAATATGTGTAAATGTCAGACTATCCAACCTCTCTGCTGTCTGTTGTTCCCTCATTAATCACAACTCACCCTGAAGATGGAGGATTATTGATTTGTTATCCATCTTCCCCATTTATTCCAGTCAGCTCTCTGTTCCTTCCTCATTAACCAGGCCTCAGCAGACTGCAGGCAGTATATCAATAGGGAGGATGTGTATTGATTGAGGTTTGGTCATTGGTAATAACATTGTTGGCAAACAAGCTTTTTATCTTGTATAATTGGATTTATTTTATATTTTTCTTTCTATGTTTAGCTAGAAGACTGAATTGAAATGTGTACCAGTCTCTATAAGGGTTTATGTTAAAACCTGTTTTGTTTTTTTAAAAGGAGTCTTAACTAAGGCTGAAATCACACAAAATGAAAGAAAAAAAAAAAAAAATCCTTTTATAAAGGGTAATTAAATATGCAGGTAGTTTTGTTCGCACCTGTCAATTGTTTAAAGGTCCCGTGTCATGGCCATGTCTACTGATCATAATTCCATTGTTGAGGTCTACTAAAATAGATTTATATTGTGCAATTTTCCAAACTCACATTGGTTTCTCAAACAGCATCTCTGTATAGTATGTGTATTCACTCTCTGTCCTAAACGGCTTGTTGGAGCTCCTGCCGCCCCCCCCCCCCCCCTCCTCCCTGTGAGCCCAGTGTGCTCTGATTGGTCGGGAAGTTGCGAGGCTCGTTGCGGGTCAGCGATACAGCGAGAACAAGCGAAACTCATCCTGAGCACACACAAACACTCACAGCCGAAGTAAAAACAATAAGTGTGGCTTGATATTGAGTAAGAAAAAGGTTTATAACGCTGTGAGAATGGGACTGCGGAGAGCAGTTCTCGGCCATCCCAACTTAGTAGCCCGAAAAACGTTTACCCATTTAAACAGTCGTGGTAGATACCTTGTTTGTTTTAAACATCATAAATACATAAACAAAAATGAATACTTACAGGTTGTGTACCCGAATCTCCCGCTGGTCCAAACAAAGTAGGAACAGCATCGTTCTTCTGTGCCCTACGCTGTACATATCCGGCATGAATCGCTGAAAGGTTTGTGACGCTTTGTTTCGTGAAAGGCTGGCAGAGGGTGTGGCCTCTGGGTATTCACATGTCAGAGTACCCAGGAAGTAAACAATGGAAAATGAGAAATCTCCAACGAGGCGTTTTGGGGCAGCATAGACTGTGTTAGAGTTATACTCGCTACAGGGTGTACTTTGAGGGTTTTTGACTCTGCATACCGTTTACATGCATAAAAACCTTCATAACACACAAGGGGATGGGTAATAACCGGAAAAGCATGTCATGGGCCCTTTAAGAGACTAAAGGTTAAAATCTTAAAACCTTAAAAGCTCACTTAAGACCTTTAACTATGATTGCCATGATTTGGTCTGAAGTTATTCTCCTTTTCTGAGACACAAGTTAGTCAAATATAAACATAGAGACATGATAAACACATTTAAATGTTAAGTTTGACTTACACTTTAATTAGGGGGTCTTTATCTCCGATGTCCATGGCGAAAGACATCCGTCAATCCGTTTGGAAACCGTAGGAAAAAATACATTCCTGAAACTCCGGAACTTGCCTTAGAAATATTAAATTGTTACGTTTTCTTCAGTTTCAAACTAGTTCAGTGATAGTTGTATTGACACCTTTTCATGTATTCTTAACACAAAGTGCTCATAACATATTCAGCCTACTTTTAAGTAAAGATATAAAGGCAACAAACAAAAAAAGTCTGGCCCCACGGCTTAAAGACACACACACACTATTCTTCCTGCTTACATCTCCCAAAGCAAAATAGTTGTAATGGCGATGAAAAACGTACTCATCTACTTTTCTGTATAAATAATTCAAAGATGTGATTACAGGTGATGCAAATGTTAAGTATTTTTGAAAAGGCATGTGTATGTTGCAATACAGGCTGTTCATTAAATGTATTCTAATGCAACTATTGAAAAAAATGCTCTTTAACACGGTGTAAATATCCAATGTGGCTATAAATACACCCGGGTGCAAATAGCATTGTTTACTATAGTCGACCAGGTACAAATAGCATTGTTTACTATAGTTGACCAGGTACAAATAGCATTGTTTACTATAGTCGACCAGGTACAAATAGCATTGTTTACTGTAGTCGACACGGTACAAATAGCATTGTTTACTGTAGTCGACCAGGTACAAATAGCATTGTTTACTGTAGTCGACCAGGTACAAATAGCATTGTTTACTGTAGTCGACCAGGTACAAATAGCATTGTTTACTATAGTCGACCAGGTACAAATAGCATTGTTTACTGTAGTCGACACGGTACAAATAGCATTGTTTACTGTAGTCGACCAGGTACAAATAGCATTGTTTACTATAGTCGACCAGGTACAAATAGCATTGTTTACTATAGTCGACCAGGTACAAATAGCATTGTTTACTGTAGTCGACCAGGTACAAATAGCATTGTTTACTATAGTCGACCAGGTACAAATAGCATTGTTTACTGTAGTCGACCAGGTACAAATAGCATTGTTTACTGTAGTCGACCAGGTACAAATAGCATTGTTTACTGTAGTCGACCAGGTACAAATAGCATTGTTTACTGTAGTCGACCAGGTACAAATAGCATTGTTTACTGTAGTCGACACGGTACAAATAGCATTGTTTACTGTAGTCGACCAGGTACAAATAGCATTGTTTACTATAGTCGACCAGGTACAAATAGCATTGTTTACTGTAGTCGACACGGTACAAATAGCATTGTTTACTATAGTCGACACGGTACAAATAGCATTGTTTACTGTAGTCGACCAGGTACAAATAGCATTGTTTACTGTAGTCGACCAGGTACAAATAGCATTGTTTACTGTAGTCGACCAGGTACAAATAGCATTGTTTACTGTAGTCGACCAGGTACAAATAGCATTGTTTACTATAGTCGACCAGGTACAAATAGCATTGTTTACTGTAGTCGACCAGGTACAAATAGCATTGTTTACTGTAGTCGACCAGGTACAAATAGCATTGTTTACTGTAGTCGACCAGGTACAAATAGCATTGTTTACTGTAGTCGACCAGGTACAAATAGCATTGTTTACTATAGTCGACCAGGTACAAATAGCATTGTTTACTGTAGTCGACCAGGGGCCTATACTACGAAGCTGGTTCAACCTAACCTGGATATGTTTGAGTTAGCCTGTTGGCCTAATCCAAAACATACGCGCTCTCGCTAAACTGTACTACGACGCGGGTTATCAAGTGGATCGCTCAAGCTAGCCGTTTCCTATCTAGTTAGGTGCGCGTTCACATGAAAGGGGTGGTATTTGGAGCATTCGACCAATCAGAAACATGGAGAAGCGTACTGACAGCGCAGCGTCATACTTCCTGAATGAAAAGTGAACTTTAATACTAGTCAGAAATGAAGAAGTTAAACTTTAAACATCCATGACTTAAACACTTTATCCAGGATAAAAGCCACATAGTCTGCACCTGCAAGGTGAATACAGCTGGCAAAAGAAAAAGTGTTTGAATGCGTACATTAACAGGTTTATGATATCACTGCCCCGTCTAAAACACGATTTGACTTTAATTACATTTGTCTCGAGTGTTTCGTCAACTTAATGTGTTGCTTAAAATAATACTTCTGCATACAGTATGTGACACTGTGAGTGTTGCACGGCCAGATACGGCTCAGCTGACTCAGATAAGAAAATATGATACATTATGAAGTGATATGCCGCGGACTGTACTTAATGTTACTCTGATCCGGTTACTTATGTTGTGGCATATATTTAAGTAAGCTTTCTTAACGCTAATGTTATAATAGTCAGATTGCTCTGAAGATGGGAGGTGATATTCTATTAATGTTCACGTTCACACAGTCGGTGATTTTTGCCAGCCGTCTTTCCTGCAACGGCAGCTTTTCTGTATTTCCTTTCTCCTGTAATATGACTTGATCGCTTTAAACTCCGCACACTGAGCTCTGATTGGTCAGCAGGCAGTGCTTTCACTGAGTTGAGCTCTTGGCCTGCAACCTAACCTGGTCCCGACCAGGTTAGCCGCTAAGCATAAGTTACCATGGAGATCTAGCCCGCTAAAAAGAGAACCAGCTTCGTAGGACCGGAAAGCCGGAGTTTCCCCTGAATTTAGCCGGCTAAGCGAAAATCCTGCTTCGTAGTATACCCCCCGGGTGCAAATAGCCTTGTTTACTGTAGTCGACCAGGTACAAATAGCATTGTTTACTGTAGTCGACCAGGTGCAAATAGCATTGTTTACTGTAGTCGACCAGGTGCAAATAGCATTGTTTACTGTGGTCACCCGGGTGCAAATAGCATTGTTTACTGTGGTCACCCGGGTGCAAATAGCATTGTTTACTATATAGTCACCCGGGTGCAAATAGCATTATTTACTGTGGTCACCCGGGTGCAAATAGCATTGTTTACTATAGTCACCCGGGTGCAAATAGCATTGTTTACTATAGTCACCCGGGTGCAAATAGCATTGTTTACTGTAGTCACCCGGGTGCAAATAGCATTGTTTAATATAGTCACCCAGATGCAAAAAACATCTGCTTCAAATCTTCTGTCAACAGAGACATTATTTCAGCAATAGGTAGAGGCTAATTTCTAACACCTTTCCTGCAATTAGTGAACCTTAATGGCACACAAACACAGCCTCACGCTGCACCTGAATGCATCCATGTGTGCTGAAGCAAAAGCTCATACAAGGTCCAACTTGGAAAACATGTTTATTCACTTTTACCAGTGCAGTTGAATGACAAAACAAAACTTCAACAGAAAGAGACAAACATGAAGTAGCACTGCATTACACAAGTCAAGATCAGTTAAGGTCGCAACACCTCGCAAACAAACAAAACTATTTTCAGAGTATTTGTCTGAATATCTGCATTCGGATACAAGGCTTTGTACATGCTTATGGTGTTATCCTACAAGCAGAGAGGGAACAGAAATAAGTCCTTGTGGTCTTTTTATGTGGCCAGTTGTTTTGATACACTGCCACCTGCTGGTTAAAAGGAAAACATACAGCAACTGGATCAGGAATATATTTTATACATTTTCTAGCCTTGACTGTAGTACCATATCTGGTATTTCGTATCAAGCCTGACTTATATTCAAACCGTAGAACATTTTTATCCTGCTTTTGCTTAAATTTGAGCTCTTGCTATGTGTTTTGGACGTCACGTAATCTAAAAAAAACTATTTCTGTCATTTTTTACACTGGAATTCAAAATACAATGTTAAACAATGTGACACCTATCCTCATCTGAACTTGGATGTTGCCTAAATGTAACACATCAGTTACAGTTTGCATTTAAATATTTATAAAAAAAGTAAAATAAACTTAATAGGTAAGAAAAATCGAACGATCAACTTGAAATATAATTCCAGAAACTATACGTGTGTGTGTGTGTGTGTGTGTGTGTGAGAAAGCGAAGTCTACAATACACTGTATATGCTGTAAATGTCCAGTCAATTCAGCAGATTAAAATTAACACTGCGTACAAGTCTGGAGTGGAGATACAATCGTACACAATGTGTGTGTGTGGTGTTTAGGACTCGTCTCCGTCGGCACTATCTCCGTCGTCCTCTCCTTCCTCAGGCTCATCATCGTCATCATCCCTGCCTCTGTTTTTCATCTGTACAACAGGAAAATGTGATTCAAAAAAGTAATTCTTAACATACAGTATAAGCTCTCCGTCCCTCCCTCTCTTTCTTCATCCCCCGCTCCTCACCTCATCTTCATCGTCCAGCAGATCTCCATCGTCATCTGAGTCGTTCATGCCACGTTTCAGGCTGTCACCTTTCTTGCTGGAGCTGGAGGAGTTGAGCGGTGACACCTCGCCCGGCTCTGGTTTGCAGTTCTTCATCTCTGAGTAAATGAAAGGGTGACGGTGGGAATTAGAATAAACACCTTATGGCTGTGTTCATGTGCAATATATAATGTTATATAATGTATTACTGCTATTACTGGCTGCTAATTTAGCAGTTTTATATTTTTACTCACTTTCTTTTATAATGCTGCCACCATGGACGTGCATTTGTTTTCGTTTTTATTAACATGTGCTGATTCTACATGTATTATGTCTACTAACTTTATTTTTGCGTTTGTATCGGCATTGCCTCTTTGATATTAATTTCCCCACTGTGGAACCAACAGTTTTGTCTTATTAGATATTTGTGTGGAATATGAGTTATGGTGTCAAAAAACTAAATGTAAACAAGGCTGACAAAAGGAATCTCTCCAAGTATTGTATTTTATTTTGAAGAACAGCCAATGCTCCTTCTAATGAGAATATCCCAAACAAAAATGAAAAGTGGAAGTGTGAAATTATCACATGATTTGGAGTTAAAGCCAAAAAACAACCAGATTCGTATCATTTTCTTTCTTGATTTCAAGTGGTAGTTTGAGCCAAATTTGAAGAAAATCCCTTTAGGTGTAGATAACCATCTCTGTGTTAGACAATACAGTAGGTGCAGAGGCATTAAAAGTGAACTGAAGCATCTGTGTCAGTGTTTATGTATAATTGTCTGTATTAAACGCTTGTAAAACTTGCCATTAAATCTCCGAGGCCCACCTGACTTCTTGCTCTGGTCTTTCTCCATGCGCTCTAGGCTCTCCAGCAGGTAGTCCACCTTGTGTTTGATCTGTGTCAACTCTCTCTTGATGGTCTGCAGATCATCTACCTTCACCGCTGGAGGAGAAGCAGTAAAAAAAAGCCATTACAACATTGATGTGTGAGACATATTTGAGCCTTAGAGATGATGGTGGTACATACCGGAGCGGGAGGTCCTCTGGGTGGTCTTGGAGGAGGAGGAGAAGCTGGTTTTGGTTCGCCGGCTGCCTCCGCCGCTCACACTGACCCTCGGACGCTTTGAGGGGATGACGGCCCGGGACAGGGGGGGAGGGGGAGGAGGAGGCACCCGGGACTGGTAGGAGTACATCCTGAAACACAGAGGAGAAATAATTAAAAAGTTGCAACAAAATGCAAAAGTGGATCTGCTTCAATTAAAAAAAATTCCCAATATTTCTGTTCCATTGTGAATGTTATCTTAATTGTGTTATATATTGTATTTGCATGTTTAAAAATAAAATAAAGGGTCAGACAGAAAAAAAGTAATAATAAACAGGTGCAGGTGAGATAGAAACCTACCAAGGGCGTAGCTAAAAACCGAATAAGAAAAATAAATGACTCAAAAATATATTTTACATTATAGCAGCTTACCTATCGTAGTAATCTCTTTGAAAGTCATAGTCCAAATCTCCAGAGGAACTGTGGAGAGGGCAGAGTCAGAGAAGAATGATTAACTACAGCATTCATTGTTGACATGAAACAATACTTTCCGATAAGGAAGTCTGGAGGACTGCAGAGTTTCTGTAATATGTTGTTGAATAACGTGGAAACACACCTGTACATGTCTCCTGCAGAGCGCTTCACTGTCTTCGATCTGTGGGGTTTGGGCTCGCCGGCCAGGTTGATGTCTGAGGGAGGAAAAAGAGGAGTAAGGAGTTGCCAAAGTAAGATGATACAGGCCTCAGCTGTTTAGACCAAAAACAGCTGGTTTTCTTGGTTTTACTTATTATGTATTGAAATGAGCAGGTATAGTAAATATATGTAAAAGGATTACAGGCTCAAATCCCCAGTATTTACATATTTCAGGATAAATATTTTAGATATTGAAACTATTCTATTATCATTTAAAACAAATTACGATTATTTTTGTCATTTGTTTTCAGAAAGAAAGTCCAGTACTGATTTCAAGGCTCATTACTGGGCCCACTGACTTTCTATCTCCATCGCTGCAGTTCTTTGTTACCCATCAACCCCTCCAGCTCACCTAGCACCTGTCCCACGATCATGCGGCCGTCCTCGCTGACCACGGCGTTGCGTGCGTTCCTCTCATTGGCGTACTGGACGAAGGCGTAGCCTTTGTGGATGGAGCAGCCCACCACCTTGCCGTACTTGGAGAAGATGGCCTCCACGTCGGCCTTGGTGACCAGCAGCGTGTTGAGGTTGCCGATGAAGACGCGGGAGTTCAGGGAGCGAGGGTCAGTCTTGTTCGTCACATTGCTACTGGCCATCGGGCTTGGGGTGGGGGGGGGACAAAGGTAGGCGAAAAAAGAAAAGAAAAAAGGAGAAAACAGAGAGCCGTGAGATGTTGCGCAATACATTGTAGATTTTCTCTGCAATAAGGTCAATGAGATTTTTGACCTTGTGAAGCTCTTTAACAATGGGCCTTTAAATCACAGTTTCTTACGTATTGCATGTTTAAGTGAATGAAAGTCTGCAGAAGTCATTTCAATATTATTAAAATATAAACATTTTTTAAATTAACATTTTGCAGAGACATCTTCATATTGCTGGTGGTTTTTGTACAACATATAGTAAAAAAAACAAAGTATATAAAATCTAAAGGTGTGTTAGAGAATAAAAGCATTTTGTAACATTTGAGAAGCTAGATTTTTTTAGGGAGGCCTTTTAGCATGTATGTACTTTAATAATATAAATATTTAATTTCTGTCATTGATTGATAATTTCATCCTAATGACGTTATACTGTATGCTCATTTACTGACATTACTACATGTATCAATGTAAACTTATGATAACAAAAAAGTAATGCAATCATTCATAAACACATGGCAAATTCAATGTTGTACCTCCTACTAAACATGTCAACGGGGATGCTTTTAAGATATCATTTACACACACTAAATCTGTGCAAAGGGAGCATCGAGAGGTAGATGTGAGACAGGAGAACAGAGAACAGTGTGATGGGGTCATGAAGCAACCAGCACTCACTCCATCATGTCTGTACTCGGGCTGCTGGAGGTCTGCCTGCCTGTCTGACTCTGTTGGAGAGAAGAGGGTTGTCGAGGAACTTTGAGAAACAGTGACTGTGGGGTTACATCTACTACACCTCCAAAAAGTTGCGTTTTCTTAGAGTTTTCTCAAAGCCAAAAAATGCTTTTAACTGGAAGAGGGCTGCTCAGGAGGTGGTAGTGAACATGTTTTGTTTTTTTAAAGCAGGTGGCTATAAAAAAAAAACCTGTGGGATACATTTGTTATGACAAAACAAAGTATTGAAGTGAGAAAACTGTATTTGTGAAAACTGATAACTTCCCTGTTCTGTTTATCTACGTGAGGTAACACTCTACAGTAAACACCACTTTAATGAAGCTCATAATGTCACACACTACAGCTATCCAGGTTATTAGGCTTTTTACGGGCTGTGATGATAGGGATTACAGAAACATCTGATTATCCATAATATCACCATACATGATAAATACAAATATCCTGGTTACTGCATGATATATATACAGACATCTAAACTAACTATGCTTTGATTTAGACAGCAGGGAAGCACATGGGGAAACATACTATGACTTTCTAAAAGTGTTACTGCTGTTGCAGTGGTTGCAAACCCTCAAAAGTGATGTAACATTGCAGGGTCGGAGAAGTCTGAAATGTATCATACTGGGGAATCATACTGACAAATACAATACTACATTGACTGAAAGATAACTACATTCAATGTTTGTTTTATTGAAACTACTGTCTATGAGATGACAAATTAAACATTCCGTAGCCTAGCATTATGATCATCTATTATCATTTGTGATTTCTGATGCAAATATTTCAGAATACATGGAGATGTCCTGATTTTCTCTGTTATGTATCATATTAAATTGAATATCTTGGAGTTTTAGGCCACTAACATTTTTAAAATAAAAATATGTAACACTAATTTCAAAGATTGTACCGCCCTATTTCTTACTGTAAGGTGTTTGCTATTGTGTCAAAGCCTTGTATGGTAAAAAAGACATTCTTCCCTTTTAGGAAATTGCAAAACTTTGTGGTATTATCATCCAGCAACAGAACATTTGTATAGGCCTACATGTGAAGCCAATGCATTAGAGCACTTGGTTTGACATATCGAAAGCTAACGTACTTGCAGAAATATTTTTGTTTTTGAGTCAGTTTCTTCAAGGTTAAATGCACAAGTCACTTTGGATAATGTAATGTAACATGAGTAAACACTGGCTTTGCGCTATTTTGGTGTCCATTTTGTTTTTTGCTAATTCCCCATCAACCGCACACATTTCATGTAATTATCACCCACTTCAGCCATGTCTCACCTGCCAAATCCCCACTCTGCTGCCAGCTGAGCTCAACTGAACCCCATCAGCGCTCCCTCTCTGGCCGCTAGCAGCTAGCAGGGATTACATGGTGAACAGCCGGCTCTCTGGCCAAGGCTTAATGCTCTGCTCTCCTCTACATGATCTGGCCGGGGTGTTTCTATCGTTTGGCAAGCTGACAGTCGCTACAACACCGATTGTGTTTAGGACGAGGAGGGGTGCTTAGTGTTTCTAAATCTTTGTGGCATGTTGGGGTTCAAAGGGAATCCAGGGTTTATATACATGCAAATGATTTTCATGACTGATGCCGAATAAAGCCAGTTAGCCTGTGTGAACGCATTTGTTGGAGAATTTTTGATTTCTTCATAAACACACACTAGGTGGACAAATAACAAGATCATCTTACATGTTTAATATATGTATACTTTTGTAAATATAATTTACCATGGTTTTTGTTTGATATTATATATATATATTGATGATAATCCACTTTTTTGGAAACTTTACTCCATGCAACTGCAGGATTTTTTCTAAAAGTGAAAATGTCCATTCTTAATTGTCATTTTTTCCATTTCATGTCTGAAAATGTCTTGTTTTGTGAGTCTTCAACCCAAAGTAATTAATTTAATATGATATACAACAGATCAATAAGGCAAGATTCATCCATATTTGAGGCTGAAAACAGAGTTGACCAACTATTTTGCAGGAAAAATTGCTTTACAGATTAATTATACTGCTAACCAGTTTATTAGTGTATCTATTATTTCAGCTCTACTTGCAACATTTTATGATTTGCAATATGTCTTTTGTTGGCTACCTGTAAATGAGTCACCACAGTTCACTATTCTTATTATCAATAATTTCCTGTATGTGTAAAACAAGCAGGGAGTCCATCAGTTATATTCCAAACTTATACTTAACAGAACAATATAAGCTTCATAGAAGTGGCGTTTACTGCAGGGTTTTAATATTGGGTTGCATTATTATTCAAAAATTAACAACAGGCTAAATGCTAACTGTTTGCCTCTCATATTAAGAGTTCATATATGGCATATGTACAGTGTTAGCAGCAATAACTTTTCCTATCCTTTGCCTCATCTGGGCGTTATGGTGTGAAACTTCCTGAGATATATAATGTTGTATCTTTAGTTTCATTTTGATCAGTGATGTGAGCGAGTGTTTGTGCTTGGACTGTGAAACACTGCAACTGCAGCGCTCATGTTTGAAGACAGACAAGACAATAAGAGAGAAAGCAGATTGTACAGAGGTGCATGGAGCTGTGTGTATTCTGTGTGCAAGAAAAATTATACAATCTTAACCTTTGACATTATTGTACCTTAACACAATCTGTATTAGTTATTACTGTTATTTGTTAGTGATTCATTGTATTCAGAAGACATGCTTATTTTTACAAGTACAAACTTACTATCGAGGGTGATAATGATGACATCATTGTTATTATCAAGAGCAGGTATCTTTTTTTCTGTGTGGGTAATAGACCAGATTTGAATCCATCAAATGACATGCAAAAAAAGAGATTACATTACATAGCAAAGGCAGGATTATTTAGCCTTTGTCAGAGCCAGGGCTGGATTCAGGAGGAAGTGTTATTCAATATTAGCTCAAAATCTGGTCTCTTATCATCAACACGGTTATGCATTAGGTTATCATAAACTGGGGACATGTGGAAGCTCGTGTATAAAGCAACTAGAGTCAAAAGCAGCTGATTGTCTACTTTCACAGCACAACAAAAAAACACTACATGCTACTTGCTCTAGGAAAATCCAAAAGGGGGAGAAATGGTCTGAATCACAAAGCGGTGAAAACAAAAGTGGAATTTTAAAAAAGTGATGCAAAAGTTGTGGTGAAAAAATAAAACCAAAAAAAAAAGTTGAGACCAACTTACGATTTGCCGCTGTTCAAAAAAGAGGCTTCAAAAACTAAACAGGGAGAAACAAAAACGTAATATTAGAAAAGAGGCCATTCAAAAAAGTATCTTGAAGTATTATTTCCACAAGCAGGGAGGGGAAACTGGTGGGAAAAGTATGGAAATTATACAAATAAATTATGTGCCAAATGTCACTGCCTACAGCACATAGAAAATAAAACAAAATTCTTCTAATTATGAACCTACAATTCACACCTGTATCGTCAATATAAAAATGTATCTGAAAAAAAATATTATTTTAGGCATTCTTTTCAAAAAAATTGTTGAAAAAAAAATTGCATGTTATAAAAAAAATTGCATGTTATAAAAATATTTCTGGAAAAGCTATCAGTCAGAGATTTGCAGTCAGACCATTAAAAGATTGAACTTTAGTGGTAAGTATTCCATAAATAATAATCTGAGGTTTATCATTATTAACAATGCTATTCTGGTGTTTAAATTACAATTGCTATTTTACTTAAAACATGTAACAACGTTTGAGCATCCTTTGTAAACTTAGTTGATGGAAAGCATCACTAGGAATTACCTTCATAATCTAGGCTACTTAATTAATATCAACCTAACAATTGGGAAAATATCAGAAACTGGTGACATCAGTTAAATAAGAGAATTCAAGGATGCCTTATGCCCTAATTATAGGGGCCCCAGGAAGGGTTCAGCTACAGAACAGCGCCCCTGGAGACTGGAAGGACTCACACTCAAGGACACTTAAAAAGGACACAGTTGGGCTGGGGTGCAGTAGGGGGTTGAGGTACCACAGGGGTGTAAAATAGGGATCTTCAAGTTTAGGAGGCATCATAAACTGCAATTCTACTCCAATAGTAAGCCTTTGTTGCAAAAATCTGATCAAAAATGTTCACATATCTGTATACAGCTGATCATAATAAGTGGGGGGGGGGAAGAGCAATTTAGAGGCCTAATTTCAGCTCAATGCAGGCCCTTAACTACATCCAGGGCCTGAGCAAAAAAACTGCTAAGAAATGCTTCTGCAAATAGACTAAAATAAAAATTACCAAATGCACATATTCTGCCACACCAAATGAACCACGGTGTTAATGTTCCTTTTAAAAAAACGCCCCAACTCGGCATTGAGGGAAAAAAACAGCTTGCCTGAAAAATAACATCACTCCTGAGAGGTTTCTCTGCAGAAAATACACTGCCGAAATCACAAAGAAAGGCACGAGTCACTGTCAACGAATGCATATCAAGTTAATGGTGGAGGCAAAACCCAAGACGAGATTAAAAAACCCTTTAAAAACATATTTCCAAGAAAAAGGGCGACCCGTTTTGCAAACTGTCCAGAAAAGACTGCAACAATTTCCCATCCTCGAGATTATGACCACACTCAAGATACACAACGACGCCACACAGCAGCACTGCAAAAAAAAACGAGGCTTCGAAATGTTCGATAAAAACCAAAGCAAAAATCTTTTAGTGGTGGGAAGCTAATAAAACTAGTCTCTGCGCAGCTCAATATGCACAACACAAAATGTACGCCACTAAAAGCCAACACAGTCTCAGGAACACCAGCCCTGGAAAAAATGCATTAAAAATGAAAACAAAAAGTCCCAAAGAGGTTCAGAGTCGAGAAAATTGGTTTAAAAAAATAGGGGAAAAAATGCTCTCGGTTAAAAATACTCACCAGGAGTTTAATACTAAAAATTAGTAAAATTCAACGCTGTTTTTACTTGGGTAGGTAAAGATCCGTTTACGGCTCTGCAGGCTGATAGTATCACCTTGAAACCAGTGGACACGAAATGGCGTCGACTCACACAGAGAACAGACGAAGGGCACCGCCCACTACTGCGTACTCGTCTTTGATTGGATACTCACACCACCCTGTGTGAGTATACTCTTCAGGGATTGGCTGATGCGCTTGCCAGTCCGGCCCACTAAAGAACACGTCATGAACTCGATTGATTTGAATGACAATACATGAGCTCAAAGACAGTCCACTATTAACTGCATACTGTATATGACCACATGTGATTTTTTATTTTATTTTATAGGTTTATATATTTTATTGTAGTTATTCCTTTTGTTGTAGCTTCCTTTATTTTACCCAAAGACATCATTTTAATTTTTATTATATATTATTTGCAATATCGTAGCTTTTAGCTCCTTGTGCCCCTTGAATTAATATTATATTGTTATGCTGAATGTGTTCAAAAGGTTTCACCGTCCGACCAGAAATACATTTCTTGTTAAAAAGAGCTATACAAATAGAGCTTTATTATTATTATTATTATTATTAATAATAATATTATATTGAGCGCAAGACTCATGCCCCTTATTTTTTTCTTAGGTTTAAAAAGTTATTATCTATGTTTTTATGTATTTAACAGAGACAAAGATGCAGTATTCAGACAGGAACACATTTAAATATAATGTGACATTATGTACAATCCTGATATGCTGGACAGTTATACATTGAGCAGATTTAGTTTTTTGAGGCTTTATTTTTGTCAAAATGCTTACTTTGCCCTTGTGTTTTTTAATCAGAATCAGAATCGGTTTTATTATCAAGTAGGTTAACACATACGAGGAATTTGCTTTGGTATAAATGGTGCATACAAAGACACAGAATGAATAAGTACTATTCATACACATTTCAAAACAGATTTAGCATAATTTCTTTAAAATGGATAAATACTGTATTGAATGTGAAATGAACCGTACTGCTAAACAAAACTGTGTGGCAAAAAAGTCACTTTTAACAACAATGTCATAAATAACAATTACAAACAACTTGGTTCGAACATAGTGACTGAACATCTCTAAAGTGTATCAGCAGGGTCACCACTTCATTTTCCGTGAGAATGGACCTGAGGAGTAAACAAAAGTGGGTTCAGCATGATTTCATAGATAAAGATGGTAAGAAACAGTATTTTAAGTACCTGTGATGTCAGTGATCTTCCTGCGGTTTCGAGGCAAACTGGAATCCAGTCTCAGGTTGAAATCAGGTGTTTTCAGAACTTCCTCCAGTTTACACTGCTCTTCATTTTCCTGTTTGATCAACATACACCGGGTTAACAACAGTTGTGTAAAGTACTTTTACTCAAGTACTTAAGTTACATTTGATGCTACTTTATACTTCTACTCCACTACACTTACAAGGGAAATTATGTAATTTAACCCAACTACATTTATCACAACAGCTTTATTTTCAACAAAATGCATCTCTAAAAATTAAACTGGAGGACTAACTCTTTAACTCACAAAAGATTAAAAAATATAGTTTACAAAAGTCAATCAGAACTTTGCTTGTCTACAACAGTAAAATGCTACTTGATGCAACAATATTATCTCGAAATGTCACATATATAAGTATATTCACAAATAAAGCACAATGATTACTTGTTATACTTTAAGTACATTTAGCTGATAATACTTTTGTACTTTCACTTTAGTAAGAATTGGAAAGCAGGACTTTTAACAGTATTTTGACAATAATACCAATGTAACTAAGTAAAGCACCTGAACACTTATTTCGCCACTGTTTGACAAAACCAGTTTGAAAAGTGCTTCACTTTTAAAGCATGTGAAATAAAAACCTCTGCTGGAGTTTGTTGGCGTTTCCTCCGGCCTACAGGCGTGTTAGGGCCTGGGCTCTCTGATCCACTTTTCTGGCATTCCCTCTCTCGCTGCATGAGGACGGCCTGTCTTGTACTCCTGTACTCCAAGGAGAAGTTACTGATGGTTTTACAGAAGTCCTCCGCCTTCGTGTCTCTCACCATAGCTCGGGAGTAGCCCAGGAATAAGAGGAAAGAGTGGAACCTGAGGAACACAGAACGTATTACTGAACAACAGCAGGAAGTAAAACGAATGACAGAGCATGGCCTAGCTATGTCTAAAAAATGTACTCTTGGTTAATTAAGGTGAAATCTACAATTGCAAAGAGACAAATTGTCGTAAACTAAAATCCCAAATGTGTATTGATGCTTTCTTTTCTGAAATGGGAGCAAACCAGCTCAAACTCTTATAATATATTTAGATTCCAAAATGCTCTTAGCAGCAAAAATGTTTTAAAAAATGTACTCGCATCACACCTGTTGATGACCCGCCGATGGACGGCCTTCAGGACCTTCAGCCTTTCCTCGCACTCTTTAAAAATATTTGGCAGCCGGTGACGAAGCGAGCCCTCTGAGGCCAAAGCATCACTTCCTCCTCCTCTATTCTTCTCATTTCTATCTTTTGTCTTCTTCTCTGCCTTGTCTAAAATCTTTAGCTGTTCCCATGATGCTTTGCACAGGGCCTCCAGCTGGGAGAGGTTGGACTGCACTAGGGAGTAGTCGAACTGCAGAAGAAAGGGGAACGTTTGAGATACTTGCACTTGATTATTTCCATGTTATGCTACTTTGTACTTCTACCCAACTTCAAGTCAGAGGTAAATAGTGTACTTTTACTCCACTACATTTATGTAATACCTTTAGTTACTTTAAATATTTTGATAAATGATGTGAAATATAATCAACACTTAAATCAGACTTTAGTTCCACCTGGAGTAAATTCACAAACTACCCTGCAGTACAGTATGCAAAGTCATTCAAACTAGCTGCACCTTTACCAGCTTTGAGAACACTTTAATGCATCAATAATTATAATCAAAACATATCATATATATATCATTCTGAAATGGACCAATCTGCACAATGACTACTTTTGCTTTTGGTACTTTAATTATATTTTGATGCTAATACTTTTGTACTTGAGTAACATTTTGATTGCAGGTCTTGTACTTGGAACAGAGTATTCCTACACTGGCACTTCTCCCACCTCTGCACACAGGAGATAAACACACACACATATAGGCCCAAATACGCACCTTGCCAGCTTTAGTAACAGCAGTGATGTCCGAGTAGAGGTCAGAGGATTGTGGGTAAAGTTGCAACAGTAACACGCAGACGTGAAGCAGAAGAGGTTGGCGAGTGTACGTGTCCCTCACCTGGGAAAGCTTCCCCAGGTAACTCAGCTCAAAACCACGGGCCTTAGGATATGAAAATAAGTTGTGAGAATTTTACAAGTGGATTAAAGACGAATAACAACAATTGGAGCCACCCACCTTGCATCCATTGAGAAAGTTTCCAATCGCTAACACGGTTGCTAGAATACATCTGAAGGTCTGGCTGGCTGCAAGCTGCTCCATGGCCAACTTCAGATGGAAGAGAGGCTCAGCAACTTCCTGTCACGATACGCACAATGTGATGATTCAGAGTAGGTGGTGTGTTTGGTTTTACTGGATGCCTATTGCGATTAACATTGTCATGATGGTATTGTCGATGATGTATCAAGTGTAGGTGGCTCCATTGTAGCATGCCAATCTCTGAACCAATCGTCTATCATCGCAGTGACACAGGTAAGCATCAGGGTGGCAAAAGCCAATATTTCAACGGGTTCCAGCTTAGTCATCACTACCTGTGCCAAGGCGTACTTCACTGTGTGCCAGTCATTTTTCATAGTCCAATAATCAACTTGAGATAGAAGAATAAAGTTTGTCTTAATACCCATTGGCCATTGTTTGACGACAATTAAGCATAGAATTGGCATAGATTGGGCAACTATACAACCAAATTATTTCACACGTGGTCAGTTTGCTAGCTAATTATAAGCTAAATTGTTATCAAACAATGGCCACTGGGTAGCGAGATTGCATTTCAGCCAATGCCTTCTGCCGATTTTTTCTCCAAAGTGTCTTTTAAGCTTAACTCAACCAAAGCCAACTCCAATGTGATTTGTCAACTGAACAAAACAGGATTGTTCGGTAACAAAAAAAGTGTTCAGATCCATAATTAGTTTAAAGAGAGTACATCATGCTAACTACCTAGATCTTGATACATTTTCAAACATAAATGCAAGAGTGTTTTCATGATGGGGTTGAAAAACGACATTTCTCTTAACAAAAAGCTTTTATTTTGTACATTTGAAATGTCAAAACTAATTTCTGTCCCATGCTCATTTCCCTTTTACTTACCCTTTCTAACGAGTCGTAGTCCAGCGCAAAGGCCCACAGCTGAAGCCTGGAGTTCAGATGTGGTATTTCCCCCAAAGTGAGCAGGCAGAGCTCGGCGGGGGCCAGAGGCGAGTGGGGGTTCAGGGCCTTGGCCTCCTTGATCAGACTCAGCTCCTCTTCTGTTGGGATTAGCTCTTTAAGCCGCTGTATCAGAAGGGAATGTGGAAAGAGATTATAAACCATACTGCAGGACTATTCAGGACCCAGCTCAGGTTTCATTTAGCCGTTATAAATGTATGGTGAGGGCAACAAATAGCCTATCCAACTTTAAAGGTTAAACAAAATGCCGAAGCTCGAATTCTGCAGGACATGAACTCTGCTGTACTGTATACCTGAACGTCGTCTCTGTCCAGCACACTGCCGTCCATGCTGTAGATGGCAGGGGGGAGGAGGCGGGGAGGGGGGAGGCTGCTCAGAGCGATGGTTATGATGTTACTCCTCTTCATCCCCAACACTGAAACTGATGGCTGCTTCTGTGTTAGGGTATACAAAAAGACACGAGACAGATGTAAAGATACTGTACTATACACATCATGTTAAAAGTTTATATTAGGGTTGCATTTTGCACCCCGTGCTTTAATACCTTTAATTCAATTTAATTTAAATACATGTCTACTGAGTCACTATCTATTTCAAAATGAGCTAACACATTGGGGATTTACCCATGGCCTACTGATTATAAAGCCCTTGCATTTTCAGCATTACTAGACTGTATATAGGCTTTAAGAGTATTACAAACAACATTCCTGGGGAAAATGATCTTT